AATAATAATAATAATAATAATAATAATAATAATAATAATAATAATAACAATAACAATAATAATAATAATAATAATAAGAATAACATTTTATCATAAAATTACAATAATAAAAATAAATAAATTTAAATTTAAAATAATAGAAAAGTTTTTTAATAATTTATAATTTATGTAATAACCACAAATTAATAATTTAAAACGCGGTATTAAAGAGAAATAACTAAAAAAAATTGTTTTAATATTTTTCACTATATATCAAATATTTAATGCAAATATATTGTTATAATTTTTGTAAAAAAAATAAACAGTGTTTTAAATAAAGAATAAGAAATGTTATTTAAAATTAAATGTTTTCTTTTAACTAGGTCCTGCGCATTCTGCTCCGTCAGAATTAAGCGACAACAGTAGCACACATGGTTTTGCGGATTTCCCGCCAAGTCCAGATTCATGGCTGGGAGAAACACCACACAGATATTAAAAATATATTATTATTAATTAAAATAACGTATTAACGAAGTACAAATCAAAAATGTTCTTTTTAACTACCAATGGCTAACGAACAAACTGACTGGGTGAGAGCATTGTAATCTTTTCAATAATTGTTATCTATTTTTTGTGGTACCTAATTTATACACTTGGTTAATATTTTTTCGTATAACTTTCTACATAAAATTGATTATGTTTTTATGTATTTTGTTTCAGGAAAACCAAGTCTTTAAAATGTTTAATAAATATTTTATTTCCTGTATTTGTGTGAAATGTGTATCATTAGTTCGCGCAACCGTTTTTATGGTATTTCATTAGGTCTTTTGCCAAGAATCGTGTTTAGATGTAGATATTTTTTTCTTTTTGATCTCGAATTTATATTCCTTTAATATGTTATCTTTAAACAAATCAAAATAATTTTTCATAGGCTACGAAATTTATTGTTCTAATTTAAAATTCGTTGCCTCGACAGAAATTATAATATACATGTACATATATAATATTAAGGCTATATTGTATCATTGTATGTTAAGTATTACCCTTTGGAAGACTAAGTTATGTAATTAATTTAATTTTACCTTAAGATATTCAACGTGTATGAAATGTAAAATAAGCTTTAATAAATGTATCGTTAATAAAGAATTGTTTGAGATGCCTTAATATTTATAAGCTTATCATATTTAATTTAAATACCTATTACTTAAGTCTGTACATTTCATCAACAAAATAGACGGATTGCCTGATGATCACTATCAACTGTGTACCAGTAATCATTGTTCAGTTTATAATTAGGTAACAAAATAAGTTTTATTTTTACCGTTTGTTTTATTGTTGTGATGTAATTTTTAATAAATATTACACATGTATAAGGTTGCCAGTTTAATACAGTAATGTCTTTTTTATTAAACACGTTGGATATTTATCCCGTTTTGAGTTTTAAAGTATATATATATATATATATATCAGGCTTTATTGTAAGGTTCAGTAGGATACTAATTGTGTATCAGGAATAATAAAATGTGTTGCAGAATTAACGAACATGTGCACTTTATTATTATAAAAGACGATTTGACCGTTCATGAAATATCAATAAAAATAAATAAATTATAAACATGACGAAATGTTTGAATATTAGGTTAGTGAAAGTGATGTTGGCTACTTCCACGTCTTTGAAATCATTATCTGCTTCATCAGAATCAATAAAATGAGCGTGGAGAGTGTAGGGCGAAGCCTCTTTGTAACATATATTTTATTTGTGCAGTCGGAAAAAATCCTTACAATAAAGCTTGATATATATATATATATATATATATATATATATATATATATAT